TTTTTTGTTGACAATATGCTAAAACTTAAAATGAACTGACATGTATTAAAGATTACCACGAAGTTGTTTAAAAACTGGATCTTGGCTGACCCTGCAATAACATTTAATTTTAAACAAAGAAACATTTATCGCTATTTTCAACACAACAAAATATTTAATTTTTTTCCATCAAAAACTTAAAAAATAATAATTATGATTTTACTATCTTTTATTATGATAATTTAAGATATAGTTACTTTATTTTAATTGTCTAAGTACAGAGTTAGACATTTTTTATTTTTTTGGCAAAAAAACAAAATTTGTGGCAATTTAATTGAAAAAAATACCATTATTTTTATGAAAAAAACAATTTTGTTGATAACTGAGCAAATAATCGGGTTATGAAAAACATTGATAAATATTTTGAAGACTTTCTTTTTAAAAAAATGTGTTGTTTAAAGGCTAAACAAAATACAAAATGTTTATTTTTTATTTGTGTTTTATACTTATTTTCGTTTTTTGGTCACGAGTAAATTGTTTAAAAAACAATATGGGTGCAAACACAAACTATAGTAAACATAATCTATACAAAGTTAATCAAAAAAATAATAACAATAAATAATAAAATATAATTAAGATACTATAAATGAAAACAACTATAACTTATTATTAATTTTATTAACAGACACAACATGTTTTTTACTTGAATATTTTAAATTGAAATAATCTCATTTTCTTTGTTAAATAAAATAAAAAACTAAACAAGCACTGCCAATATTGATAAGAACATTTAGTTGACATGTAAGTTAGCTACTTAGATTGACTTTTGATAAAAATGTATTGTTAAACAACTAACTTTTCAATTGCAATTATTTGTAATTATTTCGACATTTTCAAGTCAATAAATCTATAAAATTAACCACAATTTAACTATTAAATTATCAAATTAATTATTAGAACACTTAAAACACAAAGTTTTACATTTGCTATTACAATCACAGATACATCAAACTAAGTGCTTGATTTGTTTAATATATATACTTAATTGACACTATAAAATTATGTTATCTCAAACACAACATCATCATCAAAAATATGTTGAATTTTATAATTTTGTCACTTTTTTATTCATTTTAATCACAAATACAATAAAAATATTAAGAAAACATTTTGCAATACATCTAATGAAATATATAACTGTTGTATTTTCTTGTGTGACTTATATAGAACTAAATGCATCACTATATTTTTAAATTATGAAATCCTTTTCACCACAATTTAAAAAAGATGTTGATACTTTCAATTTCACAATTAAACCATATATTATTTTATAAATCCGTTTTTAATGATATGTATCATTGTTGTGATGAAAGTGTTTTATACAATTTTTTAAAGATTGGATTATCTTACATTGTTGCTCATAATTATTGCTTACATTCACATGTAATGTAATCAACGAAAAATCACTTCTTGTTTCTCTAATTTTAATTTAAGTCTACATTATTTCATTTTTTATTATTATTAATTATTTTTTATATACGTTTTTTTTAATAAAAAAGATGAAAAAAACTTACTAAATCATTCAATCAAAAAAACAATAATAGTAAATCCCCGAAGGGCTGCCTTTTTTCTTTTGGTTTTAATAATAAAAGTGTGTCAATCGCTGCTCTTGGCGTTTTAATACAGTCACTTTTGTAAACTTAAAAAAGAAAGTAAACGAGAATATAATTTATAAAGCGAAAAATCAAACCACGTTGAAACCATTCAATCAAAATAATGACTTTTTTACCGTTAACGTGTTTTTGACATAACCAAGTCGATCTTACATTTCTGTGTTTTTATTGTACATAATAAAAAAAAAAATATTT